TGTGTGTGTGTGTGTGTGTGTGTGTGTGTGTGTGTGTGTGTGTGTGTTTGTTGGGGATGGGGGAGGCTGCCTGTGAGATATGGGGAGGGTCCTTGGGGATGAAGATGGCTGGCGAGGAATGCCTGCTGCTCTTTACAAGAGCCACTGACGGGCTGTGTGTGGTTTACTTAAAAGGAGTCCATGACAAGCTGCAAAGCATCTCATCTCTAAGGAAACCATTCATTTCAAGAGCTGCTGCTTTATCGGATGCCTTTGGTCTCATGCAAAAAGAGAGCTCTGTCTGGGCCCCTTTCCTCACTGAAGAGAAACTATACTTCTAGGAAAATCTGGTCACTCTAATGATGCTCTTTGAAAGCAGTTTGTCCTTTGGTATGTGTCTTAGTATAGCTAAGGTAGTTCAGGGATTTTTCTTTTTTAAACTTACCAAAGAGATGGTGACGTTGAAAATGGCTGGTTTGCATGGTTAAGAACTTAACTTGATTTTAAATGTAGGGTCTAGGTGACCATGGATTCCCAGGACCTCTTAAACCTTTGTATTGTGTTGTGTTATGTTGTGTTGTGTTGTGTTGTTTGTTTGTTATATAACCTCACTGATGTTTGAGAGGACTGTGAGCAAGAAGCGCTAACTTGGCTACTTCTGAAGGGTAGTGCTGTCCAGGCATCCTTAAGAAATGAACTCCAAGCCAGGTATAGTCACACACCTGGAATCCCAGAACTCAGGGAGGCAGAGGCAGGAGGCTCTCTGCGAATTCAGGGCCAGCCTGGTCGACAAAGCAAGTCCAGGACAGCCAAGGCTACACAGAGAAACACTATCTCAGCTCTCAGCGAAGACAAACAAGCAAACAGTAGCACGGAAGTCTGAAGAAAACTGGGAAATTTGTTTGAGGAGAGACAGGAGGGACTAGAGCTGAACTGAGCTCACCTCTGACATAATTTGGTCCCCGAGAGGCCTGAAAGAATAGTGACTCTAAATGCCAGCTAAGTGTCCCTTAGCTTTTGTGACTCACTTCTCTAGATAGCCTGAGCAAGAATTTTGCTTAAGAACCTTTGATAAGAGCTGCTCAAAGGGGGTGAATGTCTTTCATTTGGGGAACTTCTATACCAAAGAAACTTCCAAGCACCTTAGAAAGCATTTTTGTTTTAACTAGGTCTTCTAAACTGAAGCCCAGCTCAAGCCTTTTCCCCCTACGTAAAGTGGGCATAATGGTTTCTCCGAAGGTGGTTGTGGGGAGTGGAGGGATGATGGCTGTAAAATCCTTATTCTACTGTTAGCATATGGCAGGCAGTTAGAGAGTTTGGAGAGGTCCTAGAGAGGTGGCTCAGCAGTTAATAGCATGCACTGCTCTTTCAGGGAACCAAGAGGTCAGATCGCAGCATGCACATCAGACAGCTCATGAATACCTGTAACTTCAGGGGTCCAAGAGATTGCATCTTTTTCTGGTCTCTGTGGCCACCCTTCACACACACACACACACACACACACACACACACACACACACTACAGAGAGAGAGAGACAAAAAGAGAGAGAGACAGGCAGGCAGGTAGACAGACAGACCAACCCTGGGTAGAAGAGGAAGTGAACTGGGTATGTTGATGCAATGATGGACCCTGAAGTTTGCCCCTGAAGTTTGACTAGAAGTGAATATTTGCGCTCGAATTTCCCGCCTACGGAACCACCAGCTAAATGGAATTCCCAAGTCATCCCATCAAGATATATTTAAGGAAGAACATTTAATGGGGGAGCTACCAGAGCATGGGTATCTTTGATAGGAGCTGTGTGAAGGAGGCAGGAACAGTAGAGCTGACCTGGGCTATAGCTATATATATCTATGTATAGATATACATAGATACAGACATATATATACATATGCATGTACGTGTATATTTATATACGTACATGCATATGTATATATACGTGTGTATCTATATCTATCTATCTATCTATCTATCTATCTATCTATCTATCTATGGTTGGTTCTCTTCTGCACATAGGTGGATTCATTAATTTTGTTTTTCTTTGTCTTTTGTCTCTTTCCTTCTGGATTTCCTTCCTTGATTATTTCTCAGCTTTTATAGTTATCTTCAACTTCATCTCCACCCTTTCATCCCTGGTCTGCTTTGTGGCCTTGTTCTCTAACGCACAATTGTGTGTCAAATGGGCGCAATGTTTTCCCCTTTATTTTTCTCCCAAAGCACTTCCTACTACTGGTGTATTAATTGCTCCCTTTCTCGTGACAATCAGAAAATTGTCGCCAGCTGCTTTCAGCAGAAAGGGGCTTACTGTGAAAATGAAGTGAGCACAAGAAAGTTAGAGTGGAAGGCTGCTACCTGAAGGGAGAAGAGAGAGGGCTGGTGAGCCTCATGAGATTGCAGCCAATCAGCAGGGCTGAAGTGGCCCCGGAGAGTCTTCCTGGCCACTGTCTGAGTTTGGAGACCCATCCGAGGCAGAGGTGCTGACTTCCTGAACAGGTCACTCTTCTGTGTTGCAGTAATCAGAGGAAATGGTGCACTTTTCACCCCCAGAAACCAAGGGAGTGAACACTGCGACCAACACCAAAAGCAGGCCAGCCAACACCATCCTTAGATATTTTCTGCTCCCTTCTCCACACATTCTCTCTGGCAGAACCTAAATCTCTGTGTTGCATGTTTCAAAGAACTCCGGTAAATGTAGTCTACAGATGTGTAGCCTCGGCGGTAGTGGAATGAACAGTTGAAGAAGTTAGGAATGAAGGTTTTGTGACAAGCCATCATGTCTAACACAGATCTAAAATAGAGCTGTCAGAGACAGAATATTTACTTCAAAATAGACTCAGATTGACTTTGGATAATATTTTGTAAAAAAAAAAAAAAGAAAGAAAGAAAGAAAACAAAAAGAAAGTAGTTGGTTACCAAGCACCCTTTGAAACAGAAGTATATCATAGGTGTAGAGTTGAAATTTCTAGGGAAAAAAAAAGGCATTAAGTAAATAAAACTCACTACACCTGCTCTATACATCTAAACGTAAAAATGGGTTTTTATGTGTAACTGTGTGTTTTTATGTTGTTTGTTTTGGTGTAAGGACTTCCTAGGGTAGATGTGTGCAAGGGTCAGAGGCCAAAGGTTGATGTTAGATGTCTTTCCTTGATGGTTGTCTGTCTTCATTCTTTGATAGAGGAGCCATCTATGAAGCCAAAGCGCATCAATTCACCTATACTGGCAGGCCTATGAGTTAAAGGAGTCCTCTAGTCTCTCCAGTCTCTCTCATCCAGTGCTGAAATTGTAGGCACAAGCCATAAGCTCTGGGGATCCCGACTCAAGTCTTCATGCTTCTGTCAACAGGCACCACAGACTAAACCATCTTTCTTGTCCCAGGAAAATGTTTTTTTTTTTTCAAATGACGCTCCCCACCAAGGGTCCAGCCAACTATACCCATTCTGTGACCCACAAAACAAAGCAAGACCAGAGAGTCTATTCAGAAGTCGCAGTCTCTGGCTGGCTGGCTCAATCATTAGGTAAATCACTTGTGAACTTGTGCTTTTTGCTGACTCTCTCCTCTGCAACATTCACAATGCTCTTTTTAAAGCTGACAAAGATAGAAATGACTTTTTCTTGGATAGCAAAATAAGAAAAACCTGCTTGAATTTACTCCAATCACTTCTTTCATGCTGTGACATTTGTCAGCTCTCCTTTTTGCAAATCCCTTCTCTTCTCTTAGTAAATGGTGACCTTGTATGCACTCAGAAATTGCATTAGGAAATCTAAGAATAGTCTTGATTGTTGAACCAAATCATCTTCGCTTTGCTCATAAGACTTGGGAAAGGGAAGAGGCCAGAACAAATGGAAGATCATAATGAATTTGTTAGTCTGTTGCTTGTATTTTCTTGTATTGAACTGTATGTTTCAAAAGATGAGAACCATTTCATTATCTTTCCCTTGTAATTAGATGAAAACATTTAAATGCAGGATTACAAATGTTACCTGGGTAAATCATACCATCCTATGACTGTATTCTTTAGGTACAGTGATGACGCCACTAATTTAGCCACCCTGCCTCTTGGAACCAAAAGTGAACACAGCTAAATAAAACAGTGTGCCCTGTTCTAAGAATACTCCTTCAAGTCTTCCATCTCAAGCCACCATCACGATGTTGTCTGTGGATACT